AAATTTTGGGAGGAAAAGGATGCTAGTCGGTGGCAGTCACTGACGACAGCCAGTAACAGCCGACTATGGTTTTTTGGGTTAAAAGGGTGCTGTCTGATATTTTTCTAAGAGTTGGGAGAATTTTTTTTAAAGAAAAAAGGAAATGAATGATTAAGCTTTTATAAAGCTTAAAAAAAAGAAAAAAAAAATGGGTTAAACCTGACCTAGTTGCTATTAATCCAACCCATTCCAAAATTGACCCAAAAGCTTGTTTCATTTGGGCCATTTAACTTTCTTGTTTGAGCTTAGGTTCAAAGCTTATTTGAGATATATGTGTGTTTTATATCTTAGGTTTATATTGTTAATGTTTATATGCATTCATAGATTTTTAATATATAAATAGATATGGAAATCAATTTTTATTAAAAAAGAAGATAATATTTTTAAATAAAAATAATTTTTAAGTCTTTGTTTAGATATTAGAAAGAACCTAAATAATTATTCTCTTTGTTTTAAATGATTATAAGGAAATTTTGAAAATGAAAAGTTAATTTTTCTAAATTTCACCTAGATATTGGAAAATTAAGAAAATTTTCTATCACTTAAGATTTTTATCAAAAAAATAATGGTAAGAAATATAAAAATAAAAGATTTGAAAATAATAAAATAAATTAATTGTGTTGTATGATTTTTATTTGTGTCAATTATATATGGCATTACATGCATCATAGTTGGTAATAAATGTGAAATGGAAAAAATAAAATTTTGAAAAAAGGATTTTTGGAGATAAAAGTTAATATTCTTAAGTAAGAATAATTTTTTAGAACCTAACTAAATATTAAAGGGGTTCCAAATAATTATTCTTCATAAAAAAATATTGTGCCAAAATTTAAGGAATATCATGAGAATTCTAAATAGAAAAATATTTTTTGAAATTCTATCTAGATATTGAAGAATTAGAAAATATTTTGATACTAAAAATTTTTATCTTATTCCTAAATAAAAAGTTTTATTCCTAAATAAAATGAATAAAATTTAAATGTGTGTTGATAAATTTAATTGGTTGTCTATATTTTAATTTGTATTTGTATCATACACTTGCTTATATGATATATGCTTGCATTTCATTACTTTCAAAAAAAATAATAAATGGTGATTTTTGGAAAACTATTTTAAATAATAAAAAATTAATATTTCTAAGTAAAAAATAATTTTTGAGATCTTGTCTTGATATTGGAGAGTTTCACAATAATTATTTGTTATAAAAGAATATTGTATAAAATTTTTGAATGAATTAGTATGAAAGTTCCAAATAAAAAAGTATTTTTTAAAGTTCTACTTAGATATAGATGAATCAAAAAAATATTTCAACATGAAAGATTTTCATCTTATTCCTAAACAAAAGGTTTTTTTTTTCAAAAAAAAGAGATTTTTACAAAAAAAAATTTGGAGGAATCATTTTTTAAATATTAGAATTAAGACCATTGTTATCAATAGTAAGAATAACATGTGATTAGTTGATACCTTTTTTAAAATGGGCATTGTGAGGTGCTAAATGGTTTCCATGCATAACTAACTCCTGGATTTAGCTTTGTTTTTCATAAACCAAAATACTTTTTTAATAAACTATAAACTCGTTTTATTTTTTTATTAAAAAAAGATAAATTCTTAGATGACCAATCACACCTTCAAAAAAGATTAGTGATGACTCCTCTTTGTTTTGGAACTTTTAAAATTTTCATTTAATAGTCTCTAAAATTGATATAACACTTGGCTAGAGAAGTTGTTTAATTTTTTAAGCTTTATTACTCTATCGTTAGTGTAGAATTGTAGAGTATATTATGAAGATATAGTTGGATTGTTGTATCTTGGAGGCAATATGCTTTAAGAACATGTTGCACTAGTTGATGCAATCCCGCAAAGGCACGAATCATCTTAAAAAAGTGAGATATTCATGCATCAGTCTAATTCTTCATACTATAAATGAAATCAATCTATTTTCCTTTTATTCTAAGAATTTATATAATTTATTTTTACCACATTTATATTATAAGGTGATTAATTTTTCATGATTTCCTTTATACATTGACAACATCCAAAATATAGGACAATGGGCCTCAAATTAAATGTCCATTTAATTCACTTGGCCTTAAGAAATGTAAGACAATAGGTCATCAAATTTTAATTAGATTTTTTCCCTAAAATTTCATGTCTAATCCAAGTCCCCCTATTTTATTTTAATCAAATTTTTTGTTTTAGTTTTTTTTTGTTACATTAGAAGGGTAAAGCCCTAGTACAAATAAGGAGAAATGAGAGAGGCATGGTTCGAAACCAAGCCCTTGATGTCCTCTCAAGCGGCTTTAACCACTAGGCTAAAGGCTTAGGGATAAATTTTTTGTTTTAAACTCTTTACTTTCTTTTCCTTTAGCCTTTCCCCCCCCCTTTTTTTTTGCTTTTATTTCCCTTCTTTTCCACCAGCCCCCAACCACCAAGCACCAACAACTGTCACTTTCTTCTGTTATTTGAGATTCTTGGTCTCAGATCTCCAACCACTATGAGCTTTTCGAAGTTCACAGCTTTTATCGCACTGCTTGACCGAAATTAGTTTAGGTTAGATTACTTGTTAGTGTTATTTACCTTTAGTTATTTGTTTTTTATTTTTGTTGAGTTTGATTGAGACTAAATTTTGAGTGAATGTTGTAGATTTAGATTATTTCTCTTTTTTTTTTTAGGAATTTTTTGCTGTTGATTTAGGTTGAAATTATAATAAATGAAAAGTTTACTTTTTGGTTTTATATAGCATTTTAGAAACAGAGTAACGGTTCCACTACCAGGTGGTGGGGCCGTAAAATAGCAGTTGTTGTAATGGTGGCGGAGGCTGCAAAATAGCGGCCGTCGCAACACAATTGCACTGCTATTTAAATCCATGGTTTATTTTGCAAATAACATCGACTAAACTAATGTATATCCAACATTACTAATAATTTAACATAGATAGCATTCTAATAAAATATATATGTTCAGTTATAAAATATTATGCTATGTTGTAACATAATATACAAATAGTTATGATAAAACACACATATCAATCACTTATTTTATACAAATTACTCTAAATCACATTATTGATGTTTTATATTTGAAATGAAAGATTATACATTTTATTTTAAATAACATGTATAACCTACAAATTATTAATATAAGATTCATATATGAATTATATATTTTATGTAAATTATTCTTAAATCACATTATAAAAAATTAAGTATTTGAAATTAAAAATAACACAATAATTCTAATTAATATATAATGATAAAAAATTGTATAATTTATTTCATATTATACTCATAAAAATTAAAAAATATAATTTATTTTCAATCATATCATAACTTATAACAGATTATTATAAGTAACATAATATACGATTTGTTTATTAATCTTTTTTTTTGGCTAGTAATTTAATACATATAATAATAATTTGCATATTTTAATTTTTTATTCAAAATAAAATTGATTTATATATTATTTTATATCGAAATAATATTCATAAAATTTTAAGTAGGGATGTCATACATTAATACAATAATATATATTTAATAAAAATAACAATATTTGTTTACAACTTAAAAATTGTATTTGCTTACACAAAATTAAAATTATGTAATTTTAACCACTTAGCATATAATCCTATAATAAAAAGTAAAAGCCTATCTACTGCCCTTTTCCTTTATTTTTTTTCTCACCCTGGCGCCTTTCTTTTTTTTTTTTTTTCCTTCTTTTTCTTCCTTTCTTTCTTCCCTCACCCCCACCCTCACCCTCACCCTCACCCTTGCGCCCACAGTTCCTCTTTTCTCTATCACTCGTGTTGTTCTTTTTTCTAACCCTCTTTTCTAAATTTTTTTTGTTCACACTCACTTTCTGTGTTCATGTATTTTTTATGGAACGAATTTTAATTTTTAATTTTTTTATTACGATTCAAGAGATTTAAATTATAATCGTGATCATATCATTTTTGTTATAATTACAGATATAATTAAAATTATTACGATAATTACAATCGTGAATTTTTTTATTTTGCATAATTTGTAATAAAATATTATAATTATAATTATAATAATAAAAATTCTTATTTTATGATTTTTAAAATAATTTTATAACATCTTACATCTTTTATTTATTTAAGAAAAAATTATTCATAATTTTTTAAAATTATAATAAAACATTCATATTTGATTTAATAATAAATCCTTACTTTTGTCTTTTAATTATAATGAGTATCTTCAATTGTTATTTAATTACACCAAAATAATAATAATTTAATAAGAATTAATCTAATAACAAAAAAATTAACAAAAATACATATACCAAAACAATAAAAAACTATTATTAAATTTCAAATAAAAAAATTATAAATTAATAAATAATAAAATCAATGTATAATTGTTTCATTTTAATTATTTTTTCATCTAAAATCTTTCTATTATATCATATTAATTCTTTTTTTTTTCAATTTTAGACTTCTCTCAATCAATCTTGTAAGATCTTCTATAATAAAAATTCTCAAAAAATATAAAATGTATTTGATACATAAAATTATGATATAATAAGATATAATAATATTATTAATAAAATTAAATTAATTAATGTTATCTTATTTTATGTTTGACATATACAAAGATTATAATGAAATAATTTATTTATTGATTAAAATTATCTTTTCTCAAATTTTATAATTTAAATTATTGATATAACTTTTAAAAATATAATAAGATATGTAATTTACTTTTATGAATTAAAAATAATATTTTTATTTTAAAAAAATTGAATTAAAAATGATTAATCCTCTTTATAATTTTATTTTTTATATAAATTAAATATAATATAAAATAATTATTATCCTATCTTATTTAATATTTTATACAATAAATATGATCATAATTTCTCAAATTTCGCTTTCAGTAAAATTAAACTCTAAATTAAAAAAAATTGCAAGATACACAAAACAGAGTTATTTACAACAATTTAAAAAAAAAATTTCCAACCCCCTCCGACACTTCCCATCTTGCCTACTCCCTATTTCCCATAAGACCCAAAATCCTAATAACCCTAAATCGTTAAATCTCGACGTACACACAAGCCTCTTCATCGATTCCTTCATTCAAGGATTCTCGTCTCTCTCACTCAATTCCCAAACTCCTAATCTCAATCTTGAGTCTGCCATAGTCCCAATTTCCCCAAGACCCAAACCCAAACAGAGGATTTTTTTTCAACGCCATTCAACACAAATTACCAGCAATTTTAAATAAAAAATGTAATATTAACTTGCTTTTACCTTAAAATTACTTGTTTGGCTGTTTGCATTTGATTGTTATTGTTTTGGTTATCTGTTTATTTGGTTTAGCCGATTGATTTTTTTAATATCAGAATTTTGGACAGATAATGGGGAATAACAGCCAAAACGGACCGTTGCTTTTGCTATTCTCCGTTTATGCTGCTTTTCGGTGGCCGCCACAGTTTTTTGAACGTATTTGACATTCACCCTGCTTTTCCCTTACTATTCAACAACTATTTAAAACCCTTTGAATATGTGTGTGTGGATTTTTTTTCATATTTTCCTTTTTAGTATTTTTTTGTAATTTCAATTTTTTTCATTGGTGTAATATTAGTTTTTTTTTATGCATTACTTGATTTAGATTTTTTTCTGTTTTGTTACTTTTTAATTCCAGAAAATTTTAAAAAATTGGCCATCTATATATATCTTTTGTGGATCTTGTATTTTTAAAAAAATTATTCTGATTTTTCCCTTTTTTAGATATTTTTGAGATTTTTGTTGTGTTTGGTCTGCTCGATTATTGATTTCTTTATTTTTGCCTTCTTGAGTTTTTTTTTAATTAATTAAAAAATTATCACATATTTATAGGGTTCAGGTATTGAGAAATTTAATCGGATTCAGGAACAGGTATCGCAAAAGTAGTGGATATAGGTAAGTAGTTTTAGTTATGTTTTCTATATGTAGATCTTTGGCTATTCTCTCTGCATTTTCCACCAACTTAACAATAACATTTTCTTCAAACATACACCTCAACTCCAAAAGTTGTCACCACAATCACCCAAATGCTACCATTTGCAATTGCTTTGCTTTCCACCCAGATGCTGCCCTTTTAAATTTTTTACAAGTTTTTTGATAGGCAAATCCATTGGTTTATCCTTTCTGGCTTTTTTGCTAACATAGACATGTCAAATTCAACATGTAAGTAGTCAAAATCTCTATTAACATATGGTATCATGGGGTAGTCAATTATACCTGTTTATCTTAGCAGAAAAGGCTTGTAAACAACTTGAAGGGGTGGCATCTGGATGTAAAGCAAATGAAAATGACAGCATTCTCTGTTCCCTAAAGGATTTGGGTGATTGTAGTGAGGTAATTTTGGAGATGAGATGTATGTTTGAAGAAAGTGCTATTGTTAAGTTGGTCGAAAATATAGAGATAATAGCTAGAGATCTCAATTTGGAAAACATGCCTGAAATTACTTACCAACAGTGCCCCTGTTACAACTCAATAGCTGAAGTTGATTCAAATAAGTGTAAATTACGGAAAGCTGCTTCTAGAGAAGATTCCAGTGACAATTATTTGTATTGTCCATCAGCAAGAGATATTCAGAATGCAGACTTGAATCATTTCCAAAGGCATTGGGCCAAAGGTGAGCCTGTTATCATCAGTCAAGTGCTTGAGAATGCATCTGGAGTTGGTGTGAGGTCAGTTTCGCCACTGGCTGCTATTGTCTAGTGTCTGAAACATGTGATATTGAAATGACTTGTTATATTCTAGTCATGGATTTTACATTTTAGCAAGAATGTTGGCAAAGAAAAGAATCTATGGTAGGTATTTTGTTAGGGAGATCGTATTAGTGCCATACTAGTATTGTTTTGATCCAGCAGCTGTGGCTATCATTCTTGAGTTTGTGAATTAAACTAGTGACTATGGAAATCCAGATTATGTGATTTGAATTTAAAGAGTTCCAAATATTATCCATTAGTTAGATATAACTTAGTGCTTCCCTATTTGACATACATCATGTTTTATGCTGGAATTTTAATAGTTTATGATTTATTGTCCTTCATACCATGCTTATTTCAAGGCCTTCATAGGGAAATTTACTTGCTGGGATCTTTCTTCTTTGCAAAGTGCAGTGTTTTGGAATTTATTTATTCCTATTGACCATCTTGGAAAAGTGCAACTTGACATTGAAGAATAGTCTTGGAACTTGGAGATGTTTCTCTTTTATCATTGTTGACATCAAATGCTCTCATAAATTAACCAATTTTGCCATGGTCTCGACTTACATGAATTGCTTGCTTAAGAAGCATATAAAATAAGGTAGGGCATGCATCTTTGGACTCCCCCCCTCACACCCATTCAATATTGCAGAAAATGATTTTGCCAATTTCTGTCTTGGATGGTGCCTTGTTTATCTTCTGAAGACTTCCATCCTTCTCTTTCTTGCCTTTTTTAGAGTTATGTATTCTGTGGTACTTAGTTGATATGGGGAAAGTTAAGTGTGGCTATAAGTTGAATCTAGTTAAGTCATCAACAAATTAAATTACTTGACAATAAAGGGAACTTTTGTGTGTCTGTGTCTACGCACATATAGTAATATCTGTTGTAATATGCTATTTCTTCCAACCGAACTGTGCCTTTTCATCTTTCCAATTGATTTTAATGTTTATGACACAGTGAGCTTGGTTTCTAAGTCAGCTGTTCTGATGGAATGCACTTACAGTCAATATTCACCAGTTCTTTAAGGGTATATAGAAGGCCGCTTTGACAGAGAAGAATGGCTTCTGATATTTAAGTTGAAAGGCTGGCCCCCATCCAACAAATCTGAGGAGCGTCTTCCTTGTCATCTTGCCGAATTTCTTTATTGTTTGCCATTTGAGGAATATACGCATTCTCAAAGTGGCCTTATAAATCTTGCTTCTAAATTGCCTTTGGATTCCCTTAAGCCAGACGTGGAGCCAAAGACATATATTGCTTATGGAGTTGCTCTGGAGCTTGGACGTGGAGACTCTGTAACAAAGCTTCATTGTGATATGTCTGATGCGGTATATGCTTAGTTCTCCCTTTCCCCCCTTACTTGTTTTTAAGTTTAATTTTTATTTTTCAATGCTGCTTATCTGCTAAACTTGTTCATTTACAGTTCATAAAGTCAGGAACCTACAGTGTAGACTTTTCATGTCCTCCAGTGTGAATTTTGAATTATTTGCATGATAAAAACTGCATTTTGATTAAGTCAATTCTCATGAATATGGAACCTACAACTATATTTGTTCCTTAGAAAGTGTTAATGGATCACCTGTATTTTGAAATGTGGTGTTCTGGAAAAGGTGCTAACACCTTCAATTATGTTGCGTATGTTGTTCTGGCATAGATTTTATAACCTGTTTGCAGTTTAATTAGGTTCTGCCTTGATTTTACATCTCAGAGTAATCTCACGTCGTGTACATGTTTAAGGAATTTTTGCTGCACTGATGGTTTTAACTTGTCAATAATGATATAAAAGTATTAAATCATGAATCCAGCTGCCTAGCACATTTGGAAGTGTGGGTTCAAGAGGCCTGAGGCTATACTGTCACTTTATTGAGACACTACACAGATGCTTTAGGAATCTCATTTTCTTTTGTGGTTTTTTTATTCTGAATATTCTATGCGTATTTAAAATGTAACCAAAATGGTTATATCCAGTACAAATGATGTTTTTTCCATATTGGATAAGGGACAAGTATTGAAGCCCATTTAGCTGGTAGAGCTGTAGCTATGACTACTATAGATGGTATTTGTGATGTGTCTGATTTCTGATGCTCTTGTATTTCTGTCTTCTAGTCTGCATATAGGTTGCTCTTGACTTTGTTTCACCTGATAATACTGTTGAATCTGTTCGATTACTTCTACAAGGCCATGGAGCTAAAGAGGACAAACTGGAGGTACATGGATAATAACTACCGGACTGGATGCTGTAATTTCTAGGTTTTTCTTTTGGCCTTTGGAGAGAGGGACAGGTGAGTTTTCTGATTTGATGTCCAACCCAAAAAAAGGATGTTGGAGATAATACCTGTTTGAGTGCATGCTTCGCTTAACTTCGATTGTTATGGAATATTTTTTCCAAGATGTGCTCAAACATTAGTAGTCCTCTCCGTTCATCAATAATATCAGCTAAACCGATTTTGGCACATCTGCATAAGGTTGCATAAAGTTCTTGTGACGGTGTTTTATGTTTTAATATAAAAGTTGGGAGTTCTGGCACTTAGAATGCTGTTCTCTCATTTCTTTTCTGAATCAGGTCCGGAAAATTATATACTGCATGCGATGTCTCAGACTGTTAAGTATTTGGATCCTCATGCAAAGTCACTTTAAATATATATAGCTGGTATTTGTTTCTTGATGCTTGTATGTTATTTTCTTTTTTTTTAGTTCTTTGCATAATATGTAGAGGTTGTGCATGTCTATGCAAAACAAGTAATTATGTCTCATGGTGTTGGCTTCACACTTTCTTTATACCTCCTGCAAAATTCCAATGTACATGTGAAACACTTGGCATGGCTAATGTTTAAGAGCCAGAACGCTATGAAGCTCATTCGTGAGCAAGAACTCGTTGTCACTTTTGCGTTGACTGCATCACCCGCCTACGTGGGGTAGCGGTTTAATTGTTCCGGCGTGGAAATTATCTTTTAAGAGGCCGTTGACTCTGATCTGCAGACCAATATTTACATTAATTCCTTTGACTTGTATGCTTATAGTTTTAGTATTGAATTGCTTGATTTAGGATTACACCACAACTCTGTGAGGTCGCTGACTTATCAATATCTTTTTGGAGCCATTCTTGAATGCAACTGGGTTAGCCTGTGGCATCCTTCAGGTTTCAGGCCTTGACCACTTTCTCTTGTTTACACTTATGTCATATGCCTGCATAAAACTCCTTGCTTCATTTGCCTCCAAAGAAGTGGCAATTTTATTTTTCAGAAAGTGCAATGTATTTATAGTATTTTAGCCAGATATTATATATAATTATCTATGAAAACCAAACCATATATATATATATATATATATATATATATGTTGAATTACATAAAATTCAAGTGTCTTGCATTTTCAACCTCTATCAGTTCAACTCAACCAAACAGTCCTCTTTTATTTACTTCAAAAATATATAACTTATAAAATGATTTTTTCTTTTGGTAAAAAAAATTTAGGGTAGATAGATTATTCAGTTTCTCAGGTTAAGATAAGATATGTCACATCTGATAGTTTAAGATAGATAGTTGCTGGTTTTACATTCGAGATGATCTTAACAAATGATTACCGATAAAATTCAAACTTAAAACTTTTTTATCGAGGAGAACGATATTAACCGATTAAATCAAACATTTATTTGTATAAAATGTTTTATTACTATCAGTATATAATATTTTTGAATAATTAGAGATAAGAACCTCTTATCATATAAACATATAAATATTAAATTTAAGAATTGAAACATTTAAAAAATACAAAAATATTAAGTACCTAATAAAATTGATTACAAAAATATAAAGTATATAATTAAAAAAGTTTATATTTAATATATTATCAATGTATAAATTTTATATATTATTAGTGAATTAAATGATAATAATTTATTAATAAAATAAATTAGATGATAATATTTTATTAATGAGTAAATTATATTAATTTGTATATATTTATTTTAGGAGTTAATATTCGTTAATTAATGAGTAGTTATGTATTATATAAAATTTATACATTAATAATATATTAAATATAAATTTTAATAAAAATTGGGATGTTACATTTATGATAATAATTACAATTAATAAGTAAAAATTATAAAATTAAAATTTTATTTCAAATTCTCATTAATGTTGTTAACATATGAATTGGATTAAAACAATTAAAGCGCACAGAATTATTAATTGGTTACTATACTAATTTTTTTTATAAACATTAAAATTAAAATAATTTAAAAATATATTTAAAAAATATATAAACAATTTTTATTTGTATAGTGGTAATAAAATAAATAAATTCAATAATAAAAGATAAAATCAAGAACATTCTGGACGTTCTCAACTCTTCAACGCCCCTTATATTTAACAACTTAACGCTTCTTCCTTCCCATCTATTCAATAAAATTTGAGAGTTGAGACAAACAAGGCATGGCTGATGGTATATTCGGTTACCCTTTGAGGCGCCTTTTATGGAGCCCTCCGGTCTACCGTGAATGGTCTGGATCAAGGGCCCTCATGGATTGGCTCGAATCCCCAACCGCCCACATCTTCAAGATCAACGTCCCTGGTAATTTCTTAATTCCTCTAATCTCTTTAATTTCATGGGTTTTTTTTTTTTTTTTGGTTTTTCTTTGATTGCTGGAATATGCAACTGCACATAAATAATAGGATACAACAAAGAGGACATAAAAGTGCAGATAGAAGATGGAAATATTATGCATATAAAAGGAGAGGGTGTGAAGGAGGACACAGCAAAGGACACTGTTTGGCATGTAGCCGAAAGGGGGACAGGGAAAGGGGGATTTTCTCGGGAAATTGAATTGCCGGAAAATGTGAAGGTTGAGCAGATTAAGGCCCAAGTCGAAAATGGTGTGCTCACAATTGTGGTTCCAAAAGATGCTACCCCTAAGCCTTCTAAACTGCGACATATTAACATCACTAGCAAACTTTAAAACCTTGATTAAATAAATGTGCTTGCTTTTCAAAGTTGTAAAATTAATGTGTTGTACTATAATTATTATAAAAAAAAAAGGTTGTAATAAAACTTATAAATATGTTATAAATATGTTTAAGACTAAACTTGTGTGCAATGTTGTGTGATAAGTTGAGGATTACTCTATTTAACTATTTTTATTGTGATTAAAAATGAATTTTGGCATTATAGCTTGGCTTGATATTTAATTCCTTCTTGTACTTTAATTTTATTTAGTTATGCAATTATACATTCAATTTTTCATTAGTTTTATAATAAATAGTAACAAAATTAGAATGTTTTACAAAATATTTTTGTTAATTTAGGTGATAAATTTTCATCAATTTTATTATTTTTACCCAAAAAATAATAAAATAATGAGAAAAACCATTTTTTTCTAGATTATAAAAGTCAATGTTGATTTTAACAATAATGAGATATTTTTAAATCCAAATGAATCCAACTAGCCCAAACTACTGGGCCGGAAAACGAAGCCCATGAATGTTATTTAAGATCCGGACTTCATGTATCTTTTTTCAGCCAGCAAGACTTGACATGATGAAGTCGCCTAGTTCTTTTTAAAATATATCATTTACAATAATTGCATCACAATTAATTAATTAATTAATTAAAATTTAGAGTTAATTTAAGTCTGTCAAAGTATTATGTGGAATTTACTCTTATAAAGTGGACGTTTATATAAATTTTTTATTGTGATTGGGTAATTGTAATATTATAAAAAAAATTTATAGATGAAACGCTTTCGATTTTTTACATTGATTTGGCCCCAAAAAACTACGTTGTTACATTTAACTCATTTTAATAGGAGTTTAGGGTTATTTTCTTTTCCTAAAGGGGTTTATTTTCTTTTTTATTCTCTTTTAGCTTCTTGTTTTATTTTTCAATTCTTTAATAGATTAATTTATTAAATAAAATATAAATTATGGTTTGCATGAATATTGAGTTTAATTATATCAAATTCGAGCGTTGTTAATTTTGGATTCAAATTATTTGAAGTTTGAAATTTTAGGTCTCCATTAATAAATTAAGTTATTATTAGATTTTTATATAAGTATAGTATATTTTTAGTTCAAATTAACTCGAAGTTTAAATAATTTAGAATTCAAATTATTTAAAATTTAAGTTTTCTTGAGTTTGGGCTTTAAATATTTTTTATTAAATCAAGTTTGATCTGATTTGATTTTGAGTTTTTCAATTTCAATTTTTTTTTAATTAATTTACATTTTTTGTATATATAAATTGTAAATTTGTAATGGTATGGATAAATAAAAATTTTAACCGACAACATTCCTAGCTTCTATTTAGATTATGTTTGTAATGGTATGGATATATGATCAAGTTATATCCATTTAAAAATAATTTATTTTCATTTTTTATAATTATTTATACAATTAATTTTTTTCACAAATAAATAGTTTACTTAATAATTTACTCGTACTTTTATACGTGTAAAATTTAAAATCAATGTGATGGCGCTGTCATTTTCATTGTAAATAATATAATTTTTAAGACATATTAACGGATAAAATTTTTTTATTATTAAATGAATAACTGAATATTTTTAATTAATTTGGAATTTGACATTCTGACTTATGCAATTAAAATATTAAATTTAACTATTAAATTAAAAATTATAAAATTATATTAATTCTGTGTTGATGTAAAGTGGAATTTTTTTTTTCTTATTTTACCATTTAAGAGGGGACCCCACCAAACGCCACACGGTAGCACTGACGGTTGCCTAATGATATTTTAAGGTCAGTGTGGGACCTACAAGACGTAAAGCCGTTGGACGGTGATAGATGACCCAATCAAAATAGACCGTTTATTGGCCTAACTAGCTGTTGCCACGTCATATCGCCCATTTCTTGTCACGAAATCATTTCAAAATGTTTATAATCTGATGATTCTGACCACATCAGATAGTACCCAGCCGTTGTTGGTTATTTTCATCGGTCACTGACCAATCATTGGAGCGTCCTCACTTTACTCGATATATATCAACTAAACATTATGGAAATTTTGTTATTTATGCAGTTTATTCCATTAATTAACTAAATTAAAGAATTGTTCATAATAATTTATTAAATTTAATAAATAAATATAAATAAGCAAAAATTAAATTTATTCACAAATGATTTATCAAATATTGGATTTGAATTTTTTTGAGAATTATTTATTTATAATATATATAAATTATTTACAAATTTATTAAATTTATTGATGAAAAAATATTTTAAATTTTTTTTTATTTTTTAACTTTTGAAAGTGCTTATGAACACTATACTTCATGCTTTAAATCTCTATTTATTTATATTCTTATATGTGATAATCTTCCATCCATATTATTACTTTTTTTTAATCTAAAAATAAACTTTTAATTAAATAGATGCTAAAAGGGAGTTAGTGTATTAAAATATGTTCGCGATCATGTTTTTGTTTTTTATTACGTTATTTTATCATAATTATAGATATAACAGATAAGCTAATAGTAATTGCATTCATAATAATTATGATTTTTTTTTAATTTTTACAAGAAAGTAAAATTTTTTTTATATAATAATATTTATTTATTATATTTAAAATAATTTATGATATTTTAATTTACATTTATAAATTAAAATAAAATTTTCACATATTTTAGTTATAATTTAAAATTAATATGTTATAAAATTTATAAATATATTTAAAAAAAACAAATAACAGTTTTAACGTCTTGTTATAACCATAATTTTTTATTATATTATTATTTATGTGAGTAATGATTTACATTTTTATTACAATAAATAACAATAACGAAAAATAACGTTACCATTAAATAAAAACCATTATATTGTATTACGAACGTTATTTAAATTCATCAAGGGAGGTAAACTATTTTCCACTAATACTCTCCGTTCCCTCAATATTATCAGCCAATTAGGAGTTGGCAATTTTCTTGGTATGAACAAATTGCCACCTTTTGCAAAGCAAAAATCATCCGATTTCAAAGATTTCTGCAATAGCAAGTCAAAACCATAGTGTCGTGCGAATCCCAGCTTTCATAAATATCAAATGTATTTAACCTTCCAACCCAGACGCATTTTTTCAAAATCGGATAATATCTTGTAACACATTCAATCTAATAATCATTGTATTAAGAACCCTAAAAAAAATAAAATTATGCTCTTTTTTTTCTTGAATGTCCAAAATTTTTATTTTTTATTTTAAATATTAAAATTTATAAAACTTAAATTTTATAAAAAAGTTTAATGTTAGTATTGAATACTGAAGTTACAACTTTATTTTTAAACATTTTAAAATTAAAAAAAGGATAAATAATTTAAAACATAATGAATACTATTAATTATGAAAATTCCTTTATTATTCTCTTGATAAAGAAACTTGAAAATGATTTTTTCTTAAAGAGAAATCTTTTACTCTCCATTTGAGTTGATCAATTCAATTTTGATCATTATTATTAAAATTTCAATTTTTTAACTCAAAATAATAATTTAAAAAATAATGATCAAAATTAAATTCATTAAAAAAAAGTAGACAATAAAAAAAATGGGTGGGAGTACATTACGAATATATTCGTTTATGGGTGCAACATTGGTCAAAGATTTTTTTTAATTATTAAAATGTAAAAATATTCGAACCAGTTCAAACCATATGGCTATCATGAGGTACGCTTGTTGGGCCTCCCGTTGCATTTAATTTAGCAACTTGATAAAATTAAAATGTTTAGGTATGGTAAGTTTTTTTTTTTTTTTTTTTATTGCTAAGGTTATTTCTTTATTTTTTATTTTGAAAATAATAGTAAAATATGTAAGCTTAATAGAAAATTTTAAAATTTATATCTAGCATTAGAGATATCATAGATGAGACAAACCAAATTCAATCTGAACTTTCATATAATTTAATTTGAATTGAATTAAATTTTATAGATTTGATTTGATTTATTAATTTTTAATTTTTTAATTTTTTGTATATTATTTTAATATATTTAAATTAATTTTAATATAAATTATTATTCTTAAGGATAAAATTTAATATATAAACTAATAAAAATATATAATTCGATTGTATTCTTTTTTTTATTTTTTACTTTTTAATTTTAAATTTAATTCGAACCAAAATATATGTTTAATATACAAATTTAATTCAAATCAAATAAAAAACAATTCAAATCAAACAAGACATTACAATTTCAAATCAAATTTTAAAATTTTCAATTTTTTTTGCACCCAGGTTGAAGTTTTTACCTACCAAACTTAAATGCCATGAAAATGAAACTACTTTGATTGGGAACATCAAAATTCAGAACCGTCGGAGAGTTATGTTGGTTTGGTTTCTGACCCAAAGAGCTATTACCCTATCTCCCCATAGTCCTCTTCTACCAAAAAAAAAAGAAAAAATCAAATTATAACCCTCCATGATTTTGGTTTAATTTTACATTTTTTAATTAATTTTACATTAATTTGTTAATTTATTTATTAGTTTCTTCTACTAGAAGTAATAGTAATGTCATAAATTAAATTTTTTTGAAATAATTACAAAGTTAATTTTAAATATGAATAAAAATAACACATATTTTATAACATAATATGAATATTAATTTTTTTTAAGAGAGGAAAAGAATATGACAATTATATTAGTATTGGTTTTGATTATTTTATAATTGCCTTTTCCTATGTGAGTTTTTTCTACTATTACATATTTGATATGTGAAATGGGATTTTGTTGGTGCTTGTAGGATACTTTTTTTTTTTTTTTTTATTTGGCTTTTAACCTTGTATGAATTTAAATTTCTTGTTTATTAAGGAAAAAAGAAGTAATTTTCAGTCATTACCTCAAAAGATTATGATAGAAATGCTTTCCCATTGATTTGTATTGGAGATTTCATATACATACTTAATAAGGATGATTTCCATTTTTTTCTTTCACCTCTTTACCAAGTTAAAATGAAAATTACTTATAGGAGTTAATGCAATTGGTGGTAAGTAAAGAAATTTATTTCTTGTCAACCAAAAATAGGAACGTCAATAGATAAGATATGGGGAGAGTAGAATATTTTTTATTTTTAAATTTTTATATTATATTTATCTTGATATTAATATCCAATGAATATTTTATATTTATTTTTATCATTATTCTGCGAGGATTTAATAGGTATTGGTAATCTCTATTGTCATAGCTTTAAAAAAATTAAAATTTTTTAATTTTTTTAATTTTTATTTTGTATATTTAAATAGTTTTTTATAAATATATATTAATATTTTTTTAATAAAAATATATTAATTTTAATTAATCTAAAATAATAATTTATATTATTTAATAAAAATTTATTTATTAAATATATATAAATACATATGTAGAGTAAAAATACGAAAAAAATATTATATTACTCATATCCATCCTTATATTTAATAAAAATTTAAAATCATATATATTTTAATCGTATTTTTATTCTCACAATATAATATCTATTTTCATTCGTATTAGTATAAAAAATCGAATTTCTTGTAAATATGAATAAAATTGATATTTTTAATTAAAAATTAATCTTTGCGAATATATTTGATAATAAAATCTTAAATGCGTCGTGTTGATAAAAAAAATGTTTTTTCGACTGTTTGAAGATAGGATTTGGTCCAGAAAAAAAATTAAGAATACCCTTAATCAAATTAAAGAAAATTGGTTGAAAAAGGCGAGACTGATGGCTGTGTCTTAATTTTTTATCCTTTTTGAGTTAGATGTAAGAGATTTTTGAGCTGTGTCTTAATTTAAATATTTAGAAAGTATCCAACAAAAGTAGATCTCCAATAAAACACCTTCATTATACCTGTCCAAAGATACAGATCCAGCTAGCATTTCCTTTCTTTTCTTTTTTTATTTTTTATTTTTAGAATACTGGTAATAATTAATGAGTAATAAAACAGTTGAAAGCTCACTCTACCTAAGCCTTAGACAATGTTCCTTCCTAATCCCAATAGACAAAACCCCAAAATCTACTGAATTTTGTTTTTTTTAATCAATTTTCCCATTTCAACCTTCCTTAATCTCCTCATCTTTCTATATTTTTTTCCTTTTTTCTTTTTATGATTCTATATTTTTAATCTTTACCACTAACAATTTACTAACATGATTTTAAAATTTAAACTTTTTTCATAAAAAAAAAAATCTATTTATGATAAATTTAAAAATGTTATGATTATGATGCTTAAATCAAGATTAAGTGGTAATTTTCTTGAAAATAAGTAAGATTGAAACTTACCTATGTAAAGACAAAACTCCAAGATCCACTGATCTTTTTAATCAATTTCTCAGTGATATCTTCCTTAATCTCATTGTCTTTTAATTTTTTAATTTTAAATTTAATAATTTAATAATTTATGTTATATATATTTTTATTAAATATGTATAAAATATAAAAATTATCGTCTTATATTTTATATTAATATGTTTAACCGGCAAGATATATTTTTTCAAAATCTTTCAAATTTATATTTTTTTTCAAAATTAATCTATGTTGTTTTCGTACAAATAATCGTATAATATATAAATAATCAGATCGATTTCTCTTTCAATCTAAAAAGTTTTTAAAAATTACGCTCCTAAATATTTAATCTTTTAAATCTTGAATAATATATTAACATTAAAAATCCTTCCAATTTTAAAATTTACCGGTCCTTCTGTAAAAACAAACAAAGAAATTAATCCATACGGATTGCCGATTCAAACCTAACCAGGGAGTGCAATTCCTTAATTTAGACGTCAAATCACTGAATTATTTCCCCACAAAAAGTCCAAATAATTAAAATAAAAAAAGGAAAAACAGGCTGCAAGTGGCCAACTCAAATCCGGTGGTTCATTTCCTTCTTTTCTTCTACAGGTTTTTAGAAGTTAATGCTCATCAACAACCTTAAGGTTAAGCCTTTTTTTTTCTTTGCTCAAATCCAACCAAATACCTGAAATTCATCAATTTCCATCAGTTTCCATTGTCAGAAAACAAAAGGTTTTCAACTTTCAAGTTTCAACAATTCACATTCACAAAACTCCAAAGCATGTTCTACTACAAAAGTTCTCAAACAACTACCTCATGAAACCCATCTTCATTTCAATCTGAAAACCACTTTCCAGCACTGTGAATCAAACGCAGTTTCATTGTTGGTTTTGCCCCTTTTGTTTTTAGAGCAACAAAAACGATGAAACTAATCGGTTTCTCGTTGTTTTTATGGACAACATTGTTGGTGAGTGTACACTCAGATCTAGCTTCCGACAGGGCATCCCTGGTGGCTCTTCGAGCAGCTGTTGGTGGACGCTCACTTTTATGGAATCTGTCGAGCAGCCCGTGTAATTGGACTGGTGTAACTTGTGTCCAAAACAGAATCATCGAGTTAAGACTCCCTGGAATGGGACTGTCAGGTCAGCTTCCCATTGCCATTGGCAACTTAACTGAGCTCCGAACTCTTTCACTTCGTTTCAACGCTCTGTCTGGGCCAATCCCATCTGACTTTGCCAAGCTTACCAACCTTCGATATCTCTACTTACAGGGGAATAGGTTTTCTGGTCAGATTCCTGGGTTTTTGTTCTCTTTACAAAAACTGATCAGGCTTAATCTTGCAAACAATAATTTCAACGGTACCATCCCTGAGAGTGTTAACAATTTGACTAGGTTGGGTACTTTGTATTTGGAGAACAATCAATTATCTGGGTCAATACCAGATATTAATTTGCCTTCACTTGAGCAAATCAATGTTTCTTTTAATCATTTAAATGGGTCAATCCCAACAGGGTTATCAGGGAAGCCACTGAGTGCTTTTTTAGGAAATTCTTTATGTGGGAAGCCTTTGGTTTCTTGTAATGGGACTGAGAGTAGCAATGGGACTGAGAGTAGTGGCAACAAATTGTCAGGTGGAGCAATTGCTGGCATTGTTATTGGGTGTGTGCTTGGTGTTTTATTGATTTTGGTTCTCTTGATATGTTTATGTAGAAGGAAGGGTGGTAAGAAAACGGAGACAAGGGATATTGCCCCTGCTAAACAGGCTGAGGTTGAAATTCCGAGAGATAAGGCAGCAGGGGAAAGTGATACTAGAAGTAGTGGTTTGTCTGGGGTAGTCAAGAGGGATGCTAAGAGTAGTGGGAGTAAGAATTTGGTGTTTTTCGGAAAGGCGTCCAGGGTATTCGATCTGGAGGATTTATTGAGGGCATCTGCTGAGGTATTGGGGAAGGGAACATTTGGGACGGCCTATAAGGCCACTTTGGAGATGGGGATGGTTGTTGCAGTGAAGAGGTTGAAGGATGTGACGGTGTCAGAGAAGGAATTCAAGGAGAAGATGGAGGTAGTCGGAGCCATGGATCACCAGAACTTGGTCCCATTAAGGGCCTACTACTTTAGTGGGGATGAGAAACTTCTTGTTTATGATTACATGCCCATGGGAAGCTTGTCTGCACTTTTGCATGGTGAGTATTTCTTTCTTACTAGGCTTTCTTTTGCGTGCATTATGTTCTTGCTTTTGTGGTGGTGTATTATTGCTGTTCTTCCTTTGTTGATCATTTTGATTGCTGGAATCTTAGTATGCCTGTATTTAGCCATCACGTTCATTAGTAAATTTCAACTGGTGCGGACCAACATTCTCCTTTTTTTCCCGACTTCAACATTTTGGATTTCCATGAGCTACATCTTTTAGATCAATTTTGACTATCATTAAAACATAATCATGACATAGAATTGATATGATAAACTTCTCTGGGATTCATCAAATGCTTTTATGTCAGGCACTAAGTTCTTTACGATTTGGATAGTCATAGGTTTCGTAAAGAAAGGAGTTTGAATAGGTATCTTTTATAGAATTTTGTCTTTGAAAATAAAGTTTATAGTTGCTCAATTTCCTTGTTATACGTTATATAACTGACTTGGCATTAAGCATTTATGAAGCTGATATGAGTTATTGTATGTACTGTTCTATTTATCATCATTTGCTATGCATTTAGCAGCTAGGAAAGAAACCCTAAAATCTCTACCTCTGAAGTTTTTAGTTTGTAATTTATTTGAAACTCTTATCTTGCATATCAAAACTATATGGAGATACAGATAATAAATCTGATGTCTGATCATGTAAAACTGAGAGTCATCTGCTCATACTTTTCTTTAGTCTGATTTCACTCTCTTGGGTTAACCAGTACCATGTTTACAAGTCCCATCTAATTATGTTTGAATTCCTGAAGCTTGCAAATGTTAGATGATGCTGTCTGTGATATCCTGCCTGTGGGGTTCTTGATTGAGAATTTGTAATTCATTTGCATCTAGGAAATTAATGATCCTATTAAAATAAGTAGTTAGTTGTGATAGAAGTGTAATTGAATCTGTTCCTCTGTTATGTCAGTAAAAAATGTATGAAAGCACTGTCCACTACTATATCTCTGTTTGTTTGTTGCAAAGCTTTGCGTTAGTCAATTCCAGGGGGGAGAATTGGCTCTGGTACTATGTGGAGTAGAACGTGCATTTGTGTTTTGCTCATCATTGTTGGGAAACGAGATGGAAAGAAATAGAGAACAATTATTATTATTATTATTATTGTTATTATTATTACTACTCAGGTAACAGAGGAGCTGGTAGGACTCCATTGAATTGGGACACAAGATCTGGCGTTGCTCTTGGAGCTGCCAGAGGCATTGCATACCTCCATTCTAAGGGCCCAGGAATCTCCCATGGAAACATCAAATCGTCAAATATCCTACTTACTACATCCTATGAAGCTCGGGTATCTGATTTTGGTCTTGCTCAACTTGCGGGCCCCACATCAACTCCCAACCGTGTTGATGGCTACCGGGCTCCAGAGCTAACAGATTCTCGGAAGGTTTCACAAAAAGCGGACGTCTACAGCTTTGGTATATTGCTTCTGGAACTGCTTACTGGGAAGGCACCCACACATGCCTTACTGAATGAGGAAGGAGTCGACCTTCCAAGATGGGTCCAATCTATAGTTCGAGAGGAGTGGACTGCCGAGGTGTTTGACCTCGAACTTCTGAGATACCAGAACGTTGAGGAGGATATGGTCCAGCTCTTACAGCTTGCCATTAATTGCACTGCTCAATATCCCGACAAACGTCCAGCAATGGCTGACGTGACAAGCCAAATCGAAGAGCTCTGTCGCTCTAGCTCAGAAAAAGAGACTCAAATCCATGATGCAGATGTTGGGTCTTCCCAGCAGACATACTCAGTTGATTCAGGTGCTCCACCATCTTCAGTAAAGGACTAAAAAGTTGAGCAATCCTTTCATTTCATTTTTCCCTTATCATTTCTTCAATATTTTCCCCCACATTGCCCATATTCATAGCAACATTTTTCTTATTTCCCTGTAATTTTACTTTTTTATTATTGTATTTGATAGGGGGACTTCATATATGCTATTAAGCTTTACTTTGTTGTGTGAAGTGTGAATAACTCTCTATTCCTTTATGTTTGGATGAATGATCCTGTAATTATTTTTTATCCACTCCTGCTTTTGTAGCCTTTGCTGTAACTTCAAAATCTGGTATGGTTTGGACCATTACAACTGCGAATCCTTTGTTTCTTGTCATTTTCAACCTCGATAATGAACAACGATGTACCATATAATGATCTAGGGTAGACAGAAGATTAAGTTTTTCGTCCAAGATGGGGATTAATTTCAACTAAAGGTGTAATCGATTAAATTTAAATTAATATAACATTAAACTCGATCAAATTTTATTTTTTAATTTGAACTCGATTCGAAGTATAAATCAAATTATTTGAGTTTATTTAATTAAACTTGATTAAAGTATAAAAAATAAGTTTAATTCACATATTCTACAAAATTTTGATTATTTGTGTATAAACTCAAGTTTGAGATATTTTATTAATTAAAATATATTAAAATATAAAAATTAGATTAAACTTGCAAGTTACTTGAGTCAAATATTAAAATATATTAAAATATAAAAATTAAATTAAACTCGCGAATTATTCGAGTCAAATATAAAAATATTTAAATTCGGTTCGATCGATATATTGAGTTATTTGAGCTCGTGTTCGACTCGATAATAACTAAATTAAATTTAAATTTTATTTGAATCGAACTTATAATTTATGAATATTAATGTATCATTTATATTTTTAATTTCAAGTAAAATCTGAAGATGCCTTGGGCATACTACAAAAAAAAAAAATTTCAAGTTGTTGAACATGAAAATGACTAATCGATTTTGATAGAGAAAGATGGTTCGCATTTGCTTGAATGCATAACTTTCTTCATATCTCATCTTTCAAAGGAATTTTCCTTCGAGTCCATGCTTTGTAGCTCACCCCAAGAAAACGAGGATAAAGGAAAAAAAAAAGTTCCAGAAACCAATCTCAATGGCATTCCTTTTCCTTTTGGTTTCTTTGCATGCATCTTACCTTATTATTGGTTGGGACTTAGGTCGGCTCCTAAGACAGACGTAAAGAGGAGAAAAAGGTGAAAGCATAGATACTTCCTTAATTATAGATAAATCTAACAATTTTAAATATAACATAATTTTTTTAATTATGATTCGCAATTTTTATATAAAATATAATATAAATATATAAATTTTAATATTTTATATTATATAAATACATAAATTGATGAATTTAATTATTATATTATTAGATTTTTTATTATTTATTATCTGAATTTATTAATAAATATTTAATAAGGAATGTGATAACTCTCTAATCTCGAAAACCAAGAAAGACAAACTAAAGCAAAACTGAAATTTTTTTTTTTTCAGTGTTGGCATTTGCTTTTTGTTTTATTTTTCTTTTTGAGCCAATTCTTTGACTGATTATGCTGTCCCTTTCAGTCTTTCTCAGTTAGATGAACTCAATAACTGTTAAATGTAAACTTAAATTTTAGTTAATCTGCTTTTGCTTGTGATGCAACTTTGATTTGTTGAAACTGAGTTGTAATTAATTTGCTTTGCAAAGAATCTTCTTCTTCTAGCTCTATCTCTACTTCTTTACCTGAAAACAACATTGTACAATCCTGCCTTTTGCTTTTGCCACAAACTGGATTTGCTTAAACTGAATTGTTGAGTTGGTTTTAGTGGTAGGACCAATGTTGGTCCACTTTAGGTTCATTTTTAATCTCTTTCTTGGGTTATAAACAGAGATTAATCCTCCTTTTATGAACAAGCACAACAGAAAATGCCAACTTTAAAGATTGTATATTAACTATGTTCCATTATTATAATTAAAACATGTTATTGTATGGTAGGATGTCATTATTTTGAACAACAGGAAAATGCTTTAACATTTGGAAGAGATATGCAATCATTTCATAGTTTAATTAGAAATCGTAATGTTAATGTAATTTCGAATATGATGATCGAGGAATTTGTTCGAAGTTGAGATAGAAAGGGTATCCAATTTGTAATTAAAAAAAATCAGGGGTACAAGACATGCTCCAACCCTCAAATTCATCAAATATTAAAAATTGGTAACCTAAAAATTTGTTGGAAGCTGAGATAAACAAGGTATCCGACTTGTCATAAAAACAAAAAATTAGGGGTGTGAGTCGTGTTCCTACCTTCAAGTTCATCAAATATATATATATATATAAAGATAGCAAGAGAGAATAGAGAGAAAGTAGAGAAATAAAAAAACTCCATTAACAATTTGATAAAGTTATCAATAGATTTTAAATAAAAAATTTTAATTGAGTGATATATGGATAAAATGATAAATATTTTATTTTTAGTGATCAAAGATGATTACTAAATAATTATTGTTTCTCTAAATCATTAAAGAAAATGTTTAGAAATGAAATTTTCACTTTTTAAACATTTCCAAAAGTTTTCTTTCAATTTAATTGATTTTTATTTAAAAATAAAAGAAAAAAAAATTTTAAAAAAGCAAAATTTGAACTGTGAAAACAAAAACTGCAATAAGAAAAGCTTTAAAGGAGCTCTTAAATACTTAATAGTAACTTAACATATATATATATATTCCTTGTGAGTTGTTATGCAGCAGTTAATTTGTCAACAATCCAGGCACTTTTTTATTTTATTAATAATTTAATGTATTATTTTTTTTAGTATAATATAAGATTATAAAACAGTGAGATATAATCAGCCAGCTGGGCATTGAAGACGTTCGATTTCCAAGTGCTAAGCATGTCTTTTGCGAGTGCTTTCATTAATAAATCAATAAAAAAAATTTTAACTCGATTTGATTTTTTCTAATACTATTATTTAATTAAAAAGTTATATATATTCATCTAATACATTCATTTCATATATAAGTTTTTAAATTTTATTACTCCCTCTGTCCCCTTTTTTTATTCATTTTTTGAAATATTCTAAAATTATATCTTTTTTTAATATTTAAAACTCTTATTTTTATATTTTAAATTTATATTTTATGATTTTTTTTTTACTTTTTGACATTAAAAGTTATGAAATTTTAATTTTATAAAAAAATTAATATTTAATATTAATTACATTAAAGTCAAAATTTTTATTTTAAATTTTATGAAAATCAATAAATAATAAATATTTTAGGACGGAGAAAATATAATTTATAAAAATTTTAAAACTTCTTCTTTTAAATCCCTAAAACATGAATGTATGAAATTAATGTATTAAATGATTGCAAGTAGCACTGTCCAAGACTACAAGGTTTACAAAGCAGGATGGGTAGCTCGGTTGGAAATGGAAAAAAAAAAAAAACTCATGGGTTCCATTAATTTCTTGCTTGAAAATCGAGGATCAATAAAATAAAGTCAAGTTTTTGTTTAAAAAAGTCAGGCATGACGGCAATGAGAGAATGATATTTGGCTTTCGAAGTCAAATAATATTATATTTTTATCTTTATTTGTTTATAAGACATTGTATCATTCATTCATATATATATATATATATGTATGTATAAATATTTAGTGCTACATCGGTTTATATAATACAGAAATTTGGTTTTGGAATCAATTTACGTATGTGAAAACCTAATCAATTTTATTAAAGTAATATTATTTTATTTTTGTTAAATATTATTTTTTATAGTTTTATATTTAATTATTCAAGTTAAAATTTTTTACTTATTATTAATTAGTTTTAGATTAAAAGTTTAATATTTTATCAGACCCACATTTTGTTCCATTGTTTTTACGTTTTTTAGAAGTTTATCATGTGATAAATTTCCTTCTATTTTTATTTACATATAATGAAATATGTTAAAATGATATTATTTCACATTTATTAAATATTTGATTTTTTATTATCTTATATTTAAGTTGAATTTTTCTATCTATTGTCAATTAGCTTTAGGTTGAATGTTTATCATGAATCAGATCTTAGGTTCTATTTCTTTGTGCTCACTTACCTTTCAAGTTTTTTTTGCATGATAAACTTTCTTCTGTTTCTAGCTACATGTGATGTGGCTTTTTAAAGTGATCTTATATGTTAAGTATTGTGTTTCATGTGATTTTATATTCAAGTTGAGTCTCTTCATCTATTGTTAATTGATTTTAGATTAAATGTTTAACATGTATCAAAGCCAATATTTTATTCCGTTATTCTTGAATCCTTTTTAAGTTTGTCATATCATAGGCTTTTTTTTAAGTTTGTCACGTGATAGGTTTTCTTTTATCTTCATGAACACCACTAAATGTGATAAAGGTCTGTTAAAGTGATATTATTTCATATTTGTTAAATATATGATTTTTTGTGATCTTATATTCAAGTTAGATATCTCTACTTATTTCTAATTAATTTTAAATTAAATATTTAACAAGTTTTATATCTTTTTATAAACATTATATACAATTAATATTTTAGCAAATCGACTGTTGAATTTAACAACATAATTGTATTTATCGTGCAAGTAAAATTTCAAATCAATATGATATTTTTGTTATATCAAACAAGAATATCATCTTTTTCGATATATATTTAATTGTCAAAATTTCCTATATCAAACAAATAGGTGAACATTTTTAATTAACTCAAAATTTGACATGATGATCTACATGAATAAAGCATGAAATACACCAGTTGGATTAAACAAATATAAATCATTTAAAAAACTTATGAAAGAGTGTATTTCTTATATGATTTATATTTGTTTAATCCAATTGATGTATTCTATACCTTATTCATGTAATCTTACTATTCGAGTAATATAATAAAATTTTATGTAACATTTTTTATATATAAAAAATTAAATATTAAAATAAAGAATAAATAAAATATTAAATATTAAAATAAAAGATAAATACAAAACATTATACTTTAAAAAGGACACGTGTTAATCAAAGAATAGTTTATGGGTAGAAGTAGATTTATGTTAGAGGTGATAATGATTTAAATTAGATTAGATTTAGTTCAATTTTTTTAGATAATATATAGTATTATGAATTTTTAAAATTTGATTTGAATTTGAATTGATTTTTCTTTGAAATCAATTTGATCTAAATTAAATTCTACCTGTTTTATTTATCAGTTTTGAAATTTATTTTTTATATATTATTTTAATATAATTTTTCATATATCTAGATAGATTTAAATATAAAATAATTATTTTTATTTTATTAAAATTTAACTATATATAAATTAATAAAAATATATAATTTTGTTCAGTTTGATTTAATTTTTTTATATTTTTATATTTTGATTTGAAACTTAATATAAATTTAATATCTAAATTTAATTCTAATCAAATAAAAAAACTTATTTGAACTAAACTGAATATTATAATTTTAAATAAATTTTTTATTTTTTACCTCGAATGTATGTTAGATATAATGAAATATTAATTTAATAAAATAATAAAAGATAATAATTATTTGTTTGGAAAAATCTCTCAAAAAGAGAATTTTTTAAAAATATAACGTGAGATATAATTGTCAAGTTATTATTATTATTATTATTATTATTATTATTATTATTTAATAGTTAAAAGTTATTTAATTTATTGGATGAATGGTTTAATTGTTTATATAACCTTTTGGAGCATTTGTAAAGCGACGTTGCCCCACTTCCAATGCATAATTGGGGATTGCTTGATTTCTATTTATGAAAGGCTGCATCCAATTGGACCCATATATGGAAAGAAATATTACAATGCATGTGAAAAGACTGCTACTTTTGTTATCTGAATCACCCACTTGATTTTTTTTGGTGACCGATCGACTACTGATACTGGTTTGCTTCAGCATCTTCCACGGCGCGTGCGACTCACTGCTTTTCTGCTAATGTCCAATTGTTATATTCCTATTTGATAATGGTTAATTGCTTAGGTGGATATTCTAGGCCTAGTTAAGGATCTTTGAGCCAATTAACGGCTGACATGTGGCAGATTCAATCTAAGTCAGGCAAGATAAATTTGTTTGGAGGATTTATGAGAGAATTAATCTTGGTTCTCAAATTAGTTCAATGTTATATTATGCTCCAATCTTAATTATGCTTATTTCTAATTTTTCAAAAGCTCTTTCAATTTTTATTTAGATCATATTTGATATATAAAATTATTGATAGAATATGATAATAATAATTTAATATTATATTTAATTTATATTTAAAAAAAGATATAAAAATTGTAATAAAAATTTATATCATTTTAGTATAAGATTATTTAATCTTTGATAAGTGAAAAAGATTATTTTTAGTCAATATTATTAAATTTACATATTTAATTATATTAATAATTTAAATTATATAAATTTTGATAAAAAATAATTTTAATAAATAAATAAATTATCTTATTATAATCTTTGTATATACAAATACAAAATAAGATGATATTATTTAATTTAATCTAATTTATAATATTTATCTTATCTCATTTTATTATAATTTTATATATAAAAAATGATCTTAAGTTGTGAAATCATTGTTCAAGCTTTTAGATATCAAGTTTAGTGATTAAACATTTAAATTGCTCAAGCAATTGATAATTTATTTTTTTGATTAGATTAAGTTTGCACAAATTTATTATTGTCGAAAGCTTCAAATCAATAAATTTTTTTTGTTTAATAAATATAATTGTATCAATATTAATATTCATATTAAAACATATAAAAATTAAAATCAATAATTATTTTTTTAATATTAAAAATTATAAATATCAAATTTATAAAAATAAAAAAATAATATTATATATTATCAAAATCAAAGGTTTTTTCTTTTTTTTCTAATTTTTGTGAAAAACAATGAAAAAATGTCAGAGACTGCGTTTCATCGCATAAATGCGCGAGTGGGCTGCATTGCTAGGTTGGGAACGCAACTAGGAGCGCAGCTTCTAGTAGCTGTCAACTATTATGGCGTCATATTCAGGTGTCCATTTAATTTTTGAGAATAAAACAGAGAAAAATAAAAGATCCCATATCTACTCCAAACTCAAACTCCATATTCAGAGCCACAAATGGTAGAGTAAAGCGTTCCTCTTTTGGCAATTTTTTTTTCATATGTTTTATTATTATATATATTTTTACAGTCTACTTTTTAAATCTATATTATATAATAATACTATTATTTTTATTCTTGTGTTCTTATGTTTTTTTATTTATTTAATTTATTTTTTAAAATTTTTTATATAGAGGAGTCTGCAATGGAGAGAGATTTTCTGGGTTTGAAATGGAATGAATCATCCCAAACCCTTAAACAGATTACCAACAATAACACATTCAGTGATTCGGGTAACCTTTTCTTGCATTATATCTTTTGCATTATGAAAAATTTTGTGATATTTCTTGCTCTTTATTAATTTCATATTTCTTTTTATTTATTTACCTATATATTTGCATTGCTAGCTCATGTTTTTTTTTCTTCTTCTTCCATATAAATTAATTTCTACTTTGTGAGATATATATATATATATATATTTTTAATCTATGAATTAATTTTTATTTTATATTTTTTATCATGAGCAATTGAAACAATGCATTAAATAATTCCTAAGTTGTTTTTCTTCTTTTAAGTAATAATGAGGTATTGTTTGACAGTTAGTGGGATGCAATGGAGGTGGTGGGATAAGAATGATTGTTGTTGCTCTCAATTTCAGCCACACAAAGTGACTCAAGTAGAAATGGGAGACACACTCACTTATAAACTTTCTTCCTTGCCTAAGGTATCTAATTATCACAACATTTAGCACAAACCAATATAAAAACAGCATAATTTATTATATTAAAATAATTTCATGATTGTGGTGAGTTCACATTAAATTTAAAATAGGTTAAAAGTATGCTTTTAAAGATTGTAAACACAAATTTAAAAAAATTAATTACTAAACTTACTCTATTTGTTCCCACATTTTAGTAAAATTTCATCTAATAGATTTAAAAGTTTATTGGTATAATTTATTTTTTTTCAAAAAAAATATAATTTTGTGTATGCATTAGTTAATAGACTCTCCTTTTTGTTATTGAGAAAATATAGATTGATAATTTTTATATTTGATGTTTTTGGTATAGACCATATTAATCATAAAGTTTTTACAAAAAAAATTTAAGAAAAAAGAAATTAAATAAAGAAGGAAAAATCAAATTAAAATATATAATGGTTAAAATGTTTCATATTCTCCCTATTTTTCTAATTAAGAAAACAAAGGAAATAATAAAAGAAAAATGTCTAAATTGTTTTTAAAAAACTTAAACCATTAAAAGTTCAAAACATATGTCATTTTTTTAAATTTAAAATATCCAAACTTGTTTTTTAAATTTTGAATTAAAAAGAAAATTTAGGTTATATTTTCTTGAAAAAGAAATGTAGAGAAAAGAGAATATAAAGAAGTGAAAATGAAACATGAGAAAACAATTAAAAATAATGATTTTGGGTCAAGTTTTTCTAAAAAAAAAAATTTCCTTTGCTTTTTCCTTTTCCATAAATATCCTTAAAATCAGTTCGGGGTAACTTGATAAATGCATACTGAGGTAACCCTTCATTATATAATAATAACTTAAAGAATACAGGTTACATGTTCATAGTTTGTTTGTTTGTTAGTTTGTCAAATATTTATATTTGATAGCAATTGGATTTGACAGGAATTGAAATTCCCTTTCCAATTTGAAACAACTGGGACCAGTAGTAATGATCAATTTCCTGAAGGGATTCCATTTGTTGAATGGTTTTCAACATCTCCAACTCATCATCCAAGGTATCCAAATAATTCAAATCATATATTGCTGCTATTTATTTCTGGTTGCTTTTTGTATATATCAACTATAAAAAAAATCTTGAATAATAATATCATAAAGAATAGAAATAATATTTTTAAAAAATTAAAACTAACATAATTATTTTAAATTATAATCTTTACTGTATTGATCAAAATATTATTTCATTATTTTTATTTTTATTTTTTTTCTTTACCATCTTCGTTAATTAGTTGAATAGATTGTTAATGGCAACTTTTATATATGTTATTTTTAAAATAAATTATTTTATATTTAATAAATATATAATTTTTTATAATTTTATATTCAAGTTGAATCGTTCAATATATAATTGATTTAAAAAAAGTAACGAAAAGAAATCCTGTCAACATTATAAGAAATTGAATATTTATTAGATGTAGGATAATATTACACTAATAAACCCTTATCAACAGATATAAAAAAAATTTATGATGTGATAGATTTAAAAAAGACAATAGAAAGAAATCATGACTTTATTATCATATTAAGTATTAAACTTAAAATTAATTGATAATAAGTGAAGAAATTTAAAATGAATATAAAGCTATTAAAAATTAAATATTTATTAGATATAAGATAACATTATACTAATAATTATAAATTATAGATATTCAAAAATAAAATAAATAGAAAGAAATGATCATAAAAGGTATCTGTGTAGATGAAATTTTGTGATTAAAGTGTGTGTAACTTGCATGTAACATGAACACATTCGCAGGAACAAATCCATGCAATCCGAGTCCGCTAATCGCTTAACCATCATTTACGATGATAAAGTCTATGTTTTCGAGGATATTTCACCTGATAAGGTCAGTCTCTCTCATCTTTTTAAGACACAGATTCAGTTTTATGAGTGCAATTGAATTGAATAAAATTTAAATTTGATCTCGATTTGAAATTTGATTCAAACTTAATCAAATTTTAATTTTTAAGTTTGAATTCAATTCAAAATAAAAATTAAATTATTTGAACTCACTTAATTAAGATTATTCAATAAAAATAAATTTGATTCATACAAAATTTCAAACTCGATAATACGTTTGAACTCGAGTTTAAACTCAAATTAATATATATATAAGAATAAAATAATAAAAATATATTAAAATTTAAAAATTCGATTAGACTTACAAATTATTTGAATTAAACATTAAGATGTTCGAATCCGATTCACTCAATAAGTCGACCTATTCGAGTTCAAATTCAATTAAACAATAATCGAGCCAAATTTTAATTTTATTTGAACTAAATTCAAATAATTTATAAATATTAATGTATCATTTATTCGTTTATTCTATTTGGTATAAAAAAAGCTAAAAAAAAATATTTAGTTTGATGATTAAACTACAAAATATCATATGTTTTTATGAATCTCAATCATTAGATTAAAATTTTTTCATCATTTTCTCTTTGAATCCTCCATACCAAATATAATTTATATTTATTTTCGGTGGATTTTCCTTTGTTTAGAACTTTTTCGTAATATTGATATTACAAATTGTTTCAGGCTGAGGCCATTATACGTTTGGCGAAAGATGAGTACTTTTGCTTGACAACAGAAGATATGAAACGAGTGCTGCAGCAAACAACAATGGATCTTCCCTTGAGCAAACCACCGGAGCCTCCTTCGATCATATTCAATTCCTTGGTAGAATCTTCGTTGCCTACTTTTCCTGCAACGAGTAAGAAATTACCCTTGCGACTCGTTCTTATCATTAGGTGTAAAAAAAAAAAAAAAGACTCGTCTTCTTGGATTAATTCAATTGGAAAGGAAAAAAACTTCATCCCTTTTTCAATCAGAATTTAATCATTGTGAAAATAATACGAGAATAAAATTCTGAATGCATTTGAGAAAATAAAACTTGAGGATATCCACCGCATTATAAAAAAAAAATGTGATGAGTTTTCTTATTTTATGCTGCAGCTCTGCCTAAGGCTCGCAAAGCAACCTTGGAACATTTTATGAAGAAGCGCAAGAACCGGTTTGTTTCCCACTTTTTGCCCCTAACTGAAAATTATAATTATTTTATCCACTATCAGTTTAAAAAGAAATTAATAAGATAACACATGTCTGTAAAATATAGTTTTAAAAAATAAAAAATTAGTTGAAAATAAAATATATATCAACATCTTAATTTCGTTTATGCAATTAAAAATTTACACTAATAATTATCGAATATTAATTCATACATAAAATACTTTATTTAACCAATGGAGGAAAATCTTTAGGCAGAAAAAAAAAAGTTAATTTAAGGCATTTCAATTCGAATATTCTCAAAAATATTAATTTGAAAAACATTTTTGTTTCTTTTTTTTATTTTTTTCGTAAGAAAAAAATTCGAGATAAATAAATTGTTCAGTCTCCCATATCAAAATAAGATATGTCATATCTGATAGTTTAAGATAAGTGATTGTAGATCGTATATTTCAGATAATTCTAATAAATGATCATCGACATGATTCAAACCCAAAATCTCTTCATTGAAAAAACGATTTTAATCGATTGCACTAACCATTTGTTGATAACATTTTTATTTCGTTTGCAAAATTTGTACAGTAATTCGATGTGTACTTTGCAGATTGACGTCTAAAATTTCATGAACACGGTGTTCCACGGCCCCAAGGCGGTGAAACGAAATTTCTCTCCAGATTGAGAAATTAAATCCATTAGATTTCTTTACATATAATATATATTTCTTGATATTTGAGACTGTTAAATTTTAAACTTTGATCATTATAAATAAGAGTTTAACACACTCCTAGCTTTTAAAATATTGTATCTTTTGTTAATTTTTTTGTACTCTTTTTATCGTATAAATTCAATTCGAATTTGATTTAATCTAATTTAATTAAAAAATATCAACAATCTGAATCCAAAACAATTCAAAATCGAATTACTTGATTACTATCAACATGTTAGTTTTAAGAGAAAGGACAGAATCACACTGAAATAGAACAAAAAAGATGCACATTTAAAATAATTTGGGAACAATGAAATCTTATTGAAAGGCGATTCGAAATGCAATTAACATTCACTGAGCCAAAGCTCGCATTTTATTTTATCATAAAGACAAGGGTATATTTTTCTTTTGTATGACTACAAAGCTTATTGTTTAGAAGTAAACATTAAAAAGCAATTCACTCTTCCACTCCATTAAAAGAGACTAATGCACTTGAATATACAAGTAAAAACAAGACTTTGCAAATACACGAACATAAACAAATTATCTTGAGAGCCACATTTCCTTTGGCTTTAGATCTAGATCATCAGGAGAAGCTAGCTTAATCAATTTTATATATAGCCAATCATAAAACATCATTAATTGTTCTAATGCTATACAACATGCCTGTTTGGAGTACAACCAAAAACAAGGCCTCAATTCTTTTCAACAGTAAAGAAAAAGGTCTAAATTATTTTTAGAAACTAAAACAATTAAAAGTTCAAAACATATGTCATTTTTTAAAATTTTAAAATATCCAAATTTGATTTTAAATTTTTGATTTAAAAAAAATTTAGATTATATTTTCTTGAAAAAGAAATCAAGAGAAAAGGGAACATAAAGAAGTGAAAATGAAACATGAGAAAACAATTAAAAATAATGATTTTGGTCAATTTTTTCTTAAAAAAAATTTTTTTCTTTGCTTTTTTCTTTTCCAAAAATATCCTTAAAATCAATTCAACCCATTACGGGTAATTTGATAAATGCATACTGAGGTTTGTTTGTTTGTTTGTTTGTTTGTCAAATATTTATATTTGTTAGCAATTGGATTTGACAGGAATTGAAATTCCCTTTTCAATTTGAAACAACTGGAACCAGTAGTAATGATTAATTTCTTGAAGGGTTTCCATTTGTTGAATCGTTTTCAACATCTCCAACACATCATCCAAGGTGTCCAAATAATTCAAATCATATATTGTTGCTATTTATTTCTGGTTGCCTTTTGTATAATATTAACTAGAAAAAAAATCTTGAATAATAATATCATAAAGAATAGAAATAATATTTTTAAAAAATAGAATAATAAAACCAACATAATTATTTTAAATTATAATCTTTACTGTATTAATCAAAATATTATTTCATTTTTTTATTTTTTTTCTCTTTACCATCTTCATTTAATTAGTTGAATGGATTATCACGTGAAAATCAATCACAACTTGTATGTATGTTATTTTTAACGTGAGTTGTCCTATATTTAATAAATATTTAATTTGTTATAGTTTTATATTCAGGTGATCCTTCAACACGTAATAGATTAGAAAAGGTAACGGAAAAAATTAGGTCAAAACTATAGGAAATTGAATATTTATTAAATGTAAGATAATACCACATTAACAGGTCTTTATCACGTATAGGTAAAAATAAAAGAAGCTTATCACATAATAGATTTAGAAAAGATAATAGAAAAAAAATTTGACTCTGATATCATATTAAATATCAAACTTAAAATCAACTTGTAGACACCCAATTGGGTCCGGGCCCAGATCAATTGGGCCTGGCCCAAATGGGTAAGGCCCATTTCAATCCTTTAATTTTTTTTTCTTTTCTTTTTCTTCTTTTGTATTTTATGTATTTTATTATTATTATTATTATGTATATCTTTGTGTATTTATTTTTATTTAGATTAGATTTATATGTATTGTATGTATATAGTTATATATTTATTATTATTATTATCTTTTTTTTGTAATATATTTTTGGGTTTATCTTATGTTATTTTTTTTTATTATCTGTTAATTTTATTTGATTTTTTTTTGAATTATCTGATATTATTTTTTTATTTTTATACTATCATATCTTTTGATTATCTAGTATTTTTTTTATTTATTTTGATTTTAATTCTGGATGGCTAAGATTCAAAGTTGAAGAATCCCACTCTGGAGGGGAATTCAATCAGAAGAGTCCAGTTGGATTCAAAGACTGAATTCCCGTCCAAGGAGGAATTGGGATTGATCAGGAACTCCTGATCAACCCCTATAAAAGGGACCCTCTGGAACAATGCTGAAGACAGAGAAAACAGTGAGCAAAGCTACTGATTTGAGAGAAAAGGAGGCGTATAAGAAGCTAGGAAAAGTTTAGGAGTGTTCTGGGAGTGAGGAAAAATTTTTAGAGATTTTTGGTGAAAAATTTTTCTGGAAATTTCTGGGAAATTTCCAGATTTCGGCAAAAATTTCGGCGAAATTTGAATTTTCCGGCAACAATTCCGACGAACATTGAAGTTTCCGGCGACCAGCCCAGTTTCCGGCGAAGAATCCCAGAAACCGGCGATCTTCCGGCCAACTTCCGACGAAATTTCCAGATTTCGGTTAAGTTTTCCAGAATCCGGCACCAGTGTTCTTCAGTTTCTAGAGAGAAGGGAGAGAAAAAGGAAGAAGAGAGAGAGAGGGGGAGGAGCGTTCTGCCGAAAAACAGAGGAAGGTGCCTTTTATACCCTCCCAAAACGACGTCGTTTTGGCCTTAAATAACCCAGAGGATCCGCGCGTTTTGTCGAACCCGACCCGACCCGGGCGTCGACCCGTTTTCTGACCCGCGCTTGCCAGCCCCCCTCCGAGCCGAGCCGAGCCGAGCCAAGCCGCCAAGCCGCTCTCCCGAGCCGTTTTCTCTTCCTTGAGCCGAGCCGAGCCGAGCCGCGATCCGAGCCGCTCCAGGTTTTTTTTTTTTTTTATTTCTTTGTTTATTTGTTTATTTTATTTGTTTATTTTTATTTATTAGATTAGGTTTATGTAATATTCTTTTTATTTATTTTTTATTATTTTATTTTCTTTAAATAAAAATAAAAAAATTCTAAAAAAATATATTTTTAGGGAAAAGTTGAAAGTATCAATTTTCCTTAGAAATAAATTTCCAAAAAATATTTTTGGGGAAAAGTTGAAAGTATCAATTTTCCTCAGAAATAAATTTCAAAAAAAAAAAAAATATTTTTAGGGAAAAATTGAAAGTATCAATTTTCCTTAGAAATAAATTTCCAAAAAATATTTTTGGGGAAAAGTTGAAAGTATCAATTTTCCTCAGAAATAAATTTCAAAAAAAAATATTTTTAGGGAAAAGTTGAAAGTATCAATTTTGCTTAAGAATAAATTTCCAAAAAATATTTTTAGAGAAAAGTTGAAAGTATCAATTTTCCTTAAGAATAAATTTCCAAAAAATATTTTTAGGGAAAAGTTGAAAGTATCAATTTTCCTTAGAAATAAATTTCCAAAAAAAATATTTTTAGGGAAAAGTTGAAAGTATCAATTTTCCTTAAGAATAAATTTCCAAAAAATATTTTTAGGGAAAAGTTGAAAGTATCAATTTTCCTTAAAAGAAAAATAAATTTCCAAAAAAAAGTATTTTTGGGGAAAAGTTGAAAGTATCAATTTTCCTTGAAAATCAAAATTTCAAAAAAAAATATTTTTGGGGAAAAGTTGAAAGTATCAATTTTCCTTAGAAATAAATTTTCAAAAAAGGGTTTTTGAGGAAAAGTTGAAAGTATCAATTTTCCTTGAAAATCGAAATTTCCAAAAAATATTTTTGGGGAAAAGTTGAAAGTATCAATTTTTCCTAAAAAAAAAATCATTCTTTCCTTCCTTTCTATCTTAATTTTGATTTTGTTTTTTTTCTTTAAATAATCCGACGACGGAGCCTCTGTAAGTGAAACAATAGTTTTTCTTGTATACTCTTGAGGTGAGGGAATTTTCTCAATTTTCTGCTAAAAGTATTAGAGTCAATTGAGAAAAATTTCCAATAATTAATTACTTGGTAAAATTTTAAGGCTTTTGGATAACACAAATTTAAGCTGGTACCATTTTTTGATGGGCGTTGTGAGGGTGCTATAACCTTCCTCACATGTAACCGAACTAACTCTTTTCTGTTAGTATAACCTAACCTTTCTTTAGGGACCTTAACTTAATTTTCTAAAAGTAAGATTCCAATAAGTGGCTAATCGCACCTAAAAAAAAAGTTTTGACTCCTGAAAGTCAATGTCTAATAGATGGTCCGTTACAACAACTGACAGTAAGTGAAGGAATCCAACTTGAATATAAAGCTACAAAAAATTGAATATTTATTAAATATGAGATAACATCATACTAATAATTATAAATTATAGATATTCAAAAATAAAACAAATAAGAAGAAATGATCATAAAAGATATGTGTAGATGAAATTTTGTGATTAAAGTGCATGTGTGTAACTTGCAAGTAACTTGAACACATTTGCAGGAACAAATCCATGCAATCAGAGTCACCTAATCGCTTAACCATAATTTACGATGATAAAGTCTATGTTTTCGAGGATATTTCAATTGATAAGGTCTGTCTCTCTCATCTCTTTAAGACACATATTCTATTTAATAGGTATAATTGAGTCACATTGGATTGATACAATAGGAAGTTTGAATTTGATCTCGACTCAAAATTTGTTATATGTGTAGACATCCATTTGCGTCTGGGGTCAATTAAGGCTATTTGTTATTATTTTGGTCATATTATATAGTTTGAGATATTATTATATTTTGGTATAATTATATTATTATATTATGTTATATATTGTTAGCTTATTATTATTATTATTATTATTATCGTAACGGTTTTGTGTCCGTTCGACGAATTTGAAAATGAAATAAAAAATAACAGAGTCACCACCAATCTTTTTTGGCTAGGTGCAATTGGTTACTTATTAAAACATATCCTTTTAATGAAATCTTAAAATTTATTACAATTTATTAAAAGGATAATTTTAGGGTTTACGCAACAGTCTGGGTTCGAGAGTTGGTTACGTGTGGAAAAAGATTAGCACCCCCATAACGCCCATTTAAAACGATACTAATTAACTATGTGTTATTCATTGATTTTAATATAAACAGTCTTATTTTCGGTGTTTGAAAAATTATTTTCTTGATTTTTTCATTTATTGGGAATTGGTTTTTATATTCAAATATTATTCGAGAAAAATAAATTAAAACTTTTTTATCGAAATAATTCTTAAAATGTTCTAGTAAGTTGGTAACATTAGAAGAACTCTTTCTCATCTAGAGATTTCTTAGGCATCGTTTCTCGAAATACCTTAGAATCTCATCTTTAGAGGTTCGAATTTACTTTTCATAAAAATTATGTCATGCATGCAATGCAAATGCTAATATATTGATGCACACATTTTATTTACTCTTTAGAAATTTTTATTAATTTTTTCGTTTAAAAAATGAAGAAAAGAGAAATTTTTATTATATTGAAGATTTTTTATAAATATTTCAATACACTGGTAATATTTTAAAAATATCTTTTCACCCAAAGAGTTCTTAAAGCATCTTTACTCGAAATATTTTTAGAATCTCATCATTGGATAAATTTTTTTTTTTATTACTTATTCTTAATTTATTAATTAATTATTCTTATTTTATTAAAGAAAAAAAATTTATTGTATTGAAAACTTTTTATAAATACTTCAAACACTGGTAGTATTTAAAATTTTTTTCACTTAGAGATTTCGTAGGTATCACTACTCGGAGTATATTTGAATCTTATCGTCAGATAAAAATGTCATTTTCTTACATTTTTTATTAATTTATACTATTTTTATTTAATTATATTTATCAAAAACTTTTATTATAAATTTTATTATTTATTTTTATTAATTATTATTATAAAATAATGAAAAATTATTTTGGTAAATTTAAACATTTTTTATATGCATAAATATTAATAAAATTTAAAATAACAAAAAAATCAAAAAATTTTTTTTTTACCTAAATCAGATCGATCAATGGTCCGATCAACGAGGTTTAGGCCGGATCAACGGTTCGATTCGATCTAATCCAGTTGGTTCGGGTTCAACGGTTCGACGTAGGTTTGGTCCGATCTGGGTAGACTCAACTAGATTGGTCGAGAGGTAAAAGGGAGAATGGGTCGTCGGATTGAGTGAGCAGATCCCAAGTTGGGTTGCGGGTCGACGCGTGGATCCTCTGAGGTTGAAACGATGTCGTTTTGCTATCTTTTCTAAATGATGTCGTTTTGAAGGCCTATTTAAAGGCCAAATTAGCTTTTTTTTCAGTTTTCTTTTTTTTTCTTTCTCTTTTCCTCTTAGACAACTTTCCTTCTCTCTCTAAAACCCAGAATCTGGTGACTGCTCCGTCGCGTCGGTCATTGTCTGTCGATCATCAAAAAAATCTAAAATCTCTGAAATGAATGTTTTCAGCCTCGTGAGTCGAAATTCGAGCTTAGTTTTACGAAAAAGGGCTCCTAACAACGGGGATATGGCTGAAAGGTTTCGACCAAACTGGCTTTTCTTGTTTTTGTAATATATATTTTTTTTATAGACTGACGCTGTGGTTCTCATTCCAGGGACTGTTGGTTTTCTTGTATTTTGGTTCTTCTTTTTTTTTCCATAAGAAACCTTTTTTTTTAATCTGGCAATCAGTGTCTTTTGATCTATTTTTGGTTTTTTTGGCAGAGCCTCTGGGTTTTTTTTCGTTGGTGTTTTTGCAGCTCTATTTATAAAGCAAAAGAAATATTAAAATCTTTAAAAATCTGAGATTTTGATTGCCTACGATTAGGGCAGCCACCGACTATCAGAATGGCTGTCAGTGGCTACCAGAGGTGGGGCAGCTTGCAGGTAGCTGTCAGAGCAGCTGGTAGTGCAACTGCCAGCGATCGACAGAAAAGTTACCAGAAAAAAGAAGAAAAAGGAAAAAGAAAAAAGAAAAAAAAATAAATACATAAAATAGTGTTTACAATTATTATTATTATTATTATTATTATTATTATTATTATTATTATTATTATCTTTTTTTTCAAAGCTACGATTAAGCATGGAAACGAAAATTTGGAGTTCAATCCATACGGTCAACGGTTTTAATTCATAATAAAAAAAGTTTCAGATTCAATCCAAACACATAGCTAAAACTTAGCCTAAAATCTTGCTCGAATAGAATCCAATCTTAGGATTCAAGCTTGGGATTAGTTCTGTCTATTTCCTAGAGATCCTTATAAGAACACCTATAAATTGAATATTTTTTAGAGGACATAAGACACAGTGGATTTTGGAAGGAATAATGGATTTGGTGTAAGAACTCAATGTTTAAGTTTTGGGGTGCTGGGATTTTGATTCTAGAATTTTGTGTTTATTTAGAAGTTTTTGGGTTTAGATTTAGGTTTTGTGGAAAGTGATTTAAGTTGTTGAATGATTTCTGAAAGGATTTAGAAGAATTTTAAGGTTTCTAAGATTTTTTTGAAAAAAAAAACTAGGTTTTAGGATGAACAAGAAATTTTTGGTTGAATTTTTTAGCGAAGGTTAAAGTTTCCGACAAAGGTTGAAGTTTTTGAAGGGATTCTGACAAAAATTTCAAAAACTGATGGGTTTTTTTGAGTTTTCAGTTGAAGGTTTGGGTCTTTCTAGAAATAGGTCAGAGCATTCTTTGGTTTAGAGAGAGAGTGAGCAGAGGGCTTCTGAAAGAGAAACGGTTAAATTTGGTTTATATAGTATTCCAAAACAATAGTGTTTTAGAACACCCAAATCCACGCTTAAACCCGCTGCCCCGCATGTTGACCCATGTTGACTCGACTCGAATTGTAGGTTTTCTTTTGTTTTTTATTTTATTTTATTTTATTTTTATTTTCATCTTTTGTTTTTACTGGTTTTATTATTTATTTATTTTTAAGTAGTTTATTATTTATTAAATATTTTGCAAAAGAAAATTTTCTTTTTAAAAATAAAAAAATATGGTAAAATAAAAAAAATCTTTTTTAAATAAATCCAAGAATCTCACTAAACTATTGGAGGATTTTATGGATTTAAATATTATGGAATCCACCAAATTATTGAAAATTTTCATGAATAATTTTTTTCCAAAAAAATAATAATAATGAAAGAAAAATAAAAAAATAATTTTATCCTCCAAATGATTGGAAGAAAGCTTCCCAAATTAAGTCTTACTAAACTATTGGGAGACTTAATGAATTTTCTCAAAAAGAATAAATTTTTATAAATCTTTATACAATAAAATCTCACCAAACTATTGGGAGATCTGCTTCAAAGTAAGTCCTACCAAACTATTGTGAGACTTTACTAATTTTTTCTAAATAAAAATATAATAAATATTAATAAATTTGACGACGAAGCCTCTTCAGAGTGAGACTATAATTTCCATAAATACTCTTAAAGTGAAAAAATTATCTTAAATTAGTACCAAACTATTGAGAAAATTTTAGGATTAATTTTCAATATTAAATATTTTGGCAAAAGCATAAACATTTTTTAAGGCTTGGATAATTTGAGATCAAACTGGTACCATCTTTTGATGAGTGTTGTGAATGTGCTATAACCTTCCTCATACGTAATTGTACTCTTAAACCTAAACTTTGATTTCATATATCAAGATCTACTATTTAAAGACGCCTAAGTCAATCTTGGGAACTCTATTTAAAGAGGATGATTTAATCAGGTGATCAATCACGCCTAAATAAAAAAGATTGATAGTGACTCTTTTTAGTCAATGTCTAGTGGTAAGTCTACGGATCTATACGTTATGACAGTTTGGAGACTCTATTGGAGACATCGAGAGTCAAGCCAGTAAACGATTTATTATTATCCAACCCTTGCCTAATAAATTCAAAAATTTTTTTATTTCTTTTCATTACTTATGTTTGTTTTAGTTATTCATTGTATATATCTATCATTCATTTGCATGTGCATAACATAAAGCTCTTTACTCGAGCTTTACCCTTATGAGGGAGTGAAGTACTTATGCCTTTATGAGATTTCATGTCTCTGTATGGGTATACGAAATTCTCTCACTCAAATTAAACCCTTTTCGCTTAAAGCCTATGATGGACGAGGATCGAGGTGCTTTATTAGTCTATAATGGACAATGATGTAAGGAACAATTTGAGAACCTTTTAAAAGTAATCCAAACCACATATAGTTAACTTTAAGAGCCTAACCATAAGTAGAGCCATGTCCTTTCACTCTTTATAGTCAACCTAAAGTTTAGGGTCATGCTGTTAGTTTACTTGCTTTATAGTGTTTATGACTATCCAATTTTCTTATCTTGTTTATTTCTTTTCTTCTTGTGTATATTCATAAACATACATGTAGTGCATCACATTTATTCATGACCATTTATTCATTATGTCAAATCATGTCAAGGTCACTTATTCTAGATTATGGTACCAAGGTATGAGAATAGCTCAACACCAATATTACATCTGGGTTAGGGTTAAGGAGATGGATTAGGATAATGTAAACCATTTCGAAAAGTTGGAAAAGGCTCAAGAGATAATGAAAGAAAAGTTAAGTAAGATCCTTGAAGCTTTAGA